CGGTCTTTCTCCTTTTTAAAGATCCGTGCTGTTTTGCAGTTAGAGGGATCTTGCCGTGAAGAATATTGAGGGCCACTTCACACAGAGCCAGTATGAGTTCGTCAGGGGCTGAATGCAAAATAACCTTCCGTTGTTTGGGCGAGCTCTTGTATAATAACTTTAAAAGGTAAAGATTTCTGGAAAGTCTCGAACTCATTTTAAACTCCCTTCTGGACGTAGACCACAGGATAGTCAGACAGTAAATCTGTTCTGAGTCGAAATCTTTCAGGAGTCTGTGTTTTATAATCTATTAGCAGATAGCTGAAAGGAAGACTAGTTGCATCCTGGTAAGCTTCAATAAAAAACTTTGTATTACCGGGAAACATCTGACGACCCAAAACACCTATCTGTTGCTTATCTCGGGGGTTTTTAAATATTATTAAATAATTTGCGTTAAGTCCTATTGTTCTGGTAGATTTTCCCTGGAAAAATAGATTCTGTATCAGTAGCAAACAACTCATATTTTTATGATGGACGTATTGCGTAAAAATCTTCTCGACTTCAGAATTGGACGCTGCTTGACCCATAACGTCGTCCAAATTAATAGGGATCTTTTACCAGGTGGGAATAATGAATCATCATCCAATTTCTTTGGGATGTTTTCAATGAATTTAATATCAAAAGCATGTAACAGTTCATCATATAAAGGCTGCCAGCATGTATAAATGTACACATAATTATCAAACTTCACAGAACACATTTTGTCCGAATTGTACATTAGAGTCTTTACAAAAAAAGTCTTCCCACTATTGCTTGGGCCGCTAATAACAGCTGAAAACGGGTGTTGCAGTCTGCAGTCAAAAACATCTGTTTCACACATTTTCAAAGTATTGTTAAAACCCGTAAGGCAAGGTCGTATAATCTGGTTGGAGTACTCGCTTATTGTACACAAGTCTGAAACTTTTCACAATTGATCTGTTGTGCAATGTGAAGGTCCTCTTATTACGTGTAATGGTCTCTGTGCGGGGGAACAGCTCCTGAGTGTCACCGGTCTCTACATACGCACAGACTAACCCTATCAGACTCTGTAGTGTGACTATCTGTGCATTATTTGCGTTAAGTGTAATACCCTTCGCTTTGAGACACGTATGTCCGTTTGCCGTTCTAAACCCATATGACTTGGGACCTGATGATGCAAACTCAACCACAGTGTCGCCTGTCGCTAATTCGCTCGTTAATTGACCGAGATAAGATCCTGTCTCGGGAATCCAGTCGCCGTTTTTTGACACAAAGATCACAGAATCTGTATCTGCGTACAACACACGTTCGCCTAATTTATCCAAAAGATTATACAGCTCGAGTCGCGCGTAAGCTGTGGTGAAAGCGCCAATAAAGACATTAACGTCTCGTGTCGGGCACGGATCGCGTTCTGCATAGGACCACTGAATCAATGCCACTGAATCAGATACAAACGAAAAGTGTTTTATAATTCGGCCGGCACCTCCAAAAAGACACTGTGTGAATTCTTCAGGCTCTGTCAAAAGCTCTGTGGTAGGCAGATGAGTCCTGAGAGAGAAGCGGCCCCACAAAGTGTTCAAAATAAGCTTGCTTATAGATCGTTTTGCGGGGTTATGGGCTATATTAGCGATGTCTAGCTGAACGCCCTGTTTATCCAGATAATCATCGACATAAGACTGTTTGTCCGCATCTGTCACTACATGTGAGGGGAAGCCTGACGCCTCCTGTTTGGATTTTAGGAATGTTTTGACGTAATCGGTAAACAATGTATCAGTCGACTGCGAAAAATGCCAGACCTCGTGTATTTTGATCACATGATACCCGTGTTGAATAGCTCGTTGTAATTCAACGCTGACCCATGTAGCAGTGATACTTCTGTCGACATCAGTATGACTGCATTGGGGGTCCTGAATCTGATTCTCTGCACAAGTCCTGCATAAAGGAAACATTAGTTTACCACCGCATCGATAAGGTAGAACAGGATGAAATAGCTTACGAGGCGGTAGCACTGTCGCTTTAATTAACCCAAAATAATTATCTATTTCTTCAAAATCCTCAAAAATAATCTTCGGGTGTCCGATAGGATAAGTCTTACTCGACTGTACGTACGGGTAGAGCGATGTGAAATCATAATAATCCACTCGTTCATCATCAGCTGTTTTGTGGTACAACTTATACGCATTCGTACGTCCACCAAATAATGCATCCCGGGGTCTGAGCCTCTCAGGTGCTTCGTAAGATTCCATAAACTGAATGACATCATGATTTGTTTGTTTAGCATGATCCCATTCGCATTCCCAGATAGTAATCACTCGTAAGGAATACACTTTACGAAGTGTTTCTATCTTTTCATCCGATTGCCTTCTGAGAGTACCAAAAGATACTTTTGATAAAGGCTGAATTTCTTCCGGCTTAAATCGACAATCGTGTCCATGGTAAAAACAACCCAAGAACTCCAAGGCTGTTTTTACCCCATCAACAGACTCATAATAACCATCAACATGATAAGGTCCGAAGGCTTGCTCTCCGTGGTTTAAGGCATGCTGCACGGGTACACAGTCCTTACTTTTAATAAATTCTAACCACTGAATTGACGCGTTGGAGTACGTTTTGTATTGATTAATGTATGCGTGACTATGTGTAAGTGCAACTGTATCCCGACTCAAAAAGTTTGTTTTGAATACTTTCATGCATGTTCCGGCCAATGTCACAGATTTAAACGGATCAATGTTTGTACATTCGATGAATTCTTTGCGATATTTTATACAGGCCTCTCGAAGGATCACAACGTCATTCCGACAGTAAAAAGCAAGCTCTTTTTCGAAGTCAAAGACGTCGTTCAATACACATGTGTACCACGAGTCAAATCTGACACGTTCGATTTCGCTCATCGTTTCATAACCGTAAAGCTCTTTTGCAGGATAGGGACCCACATAATTTGCATTCTCTAATCTGTTGAAATGATGTGGAAAAAAACCCTTATCATTCACCGTCAGGTTTAATGCAGCCGGGACCTTTTTAAGCGAAAAAGGGAGAAACTGGAAACTGTCCACGTATCTTTGTCTAAACGCCGCATCGTACATATGTAATATTCTACACCCCTGCATAATAACCTTTGGAGTTATGCCTTCGCTGCTAAAATACTGTAACAGAATGTAGGAATCAAACCCCGAAGCATTGTGAGCTATGAATGTGTAATCATTGTATTTTGGACGTCTGAAATGTTTAATCAGACGTGCCACACAATCTGTGCCTCCAGCTTCAAACGTCTCGCCTGTCTGAGTCATTGCACATACAAAATTAGCCACATGTTTATCATCCTGGTACATAGTCTCAAAGTCGTAATAAATGTATTTTTCATCACACATTTCAGACTTTAGAGGCTGAATGTAACATTCGTGACTACCTTCGCTTGTCAAAATCTCGTTGCAATGTACACAGCTCTCTGGAGAGCACTTGTGTGGTTTGGTTTTATCACCAGATCTTGCAACCCTATACAATTTTTGACATTTAGTGCAGTATTTTATAGTGTCACATTGCGATTTTTCAATGGATGTACGCTCTTGTTTATGTGCTTCGTAACAAAAGGTGTTTCTGCAGTATCTGAGGCAGTCTGGGCAGTGTTTATAGTTTGTGACATGTGTGCGACATTCGCTTGTACAGCAAATATTACAGACATATTTGCATTTATGCAGTCTCCTATCGTTGAATCCGCGGTAACAAAATTGACAGACATAACTAGTGCCTAAGAAACCTTTCAAATTTTTGATCAGATAGTAATGCGATTCATGAATGTATAAATTTGCGGTCTTTGGATGTATTTCATCTGTGTTTTTGTAGACCTGTACCTTTCCAGTGCAGTCTCTGTGAAAAACTACAATTTTTAAATTTAATTTTCTCTCGAAAATGTTCAGATCATGAAATCCTATTTTATCGTGCGGTGCAAATCCACACGATGTGTGTATGTCTATTGCTGATTTTTGCAACTGTTGATCTGTGAATGTTGGATTCAAAAAGTATGTCAGACAATAACTAAGACACATGTTGTCGTTCAAATTCATCGGACAAAATAAATGCATTTTATTTCGTTTGATAGTGTCACTGATGGCCATGTCTGTGATTTTCCTACGTGCGCCGCCACCCCCCTGATGATCCATAGCTACAGAAACTCTTAGAGATAAAGAGTTGTCTGTTGACACATCTCTGTTGCTTTGTGCAGCGCGTTCAATTTGGTCAATGAATAATGATGGATCATGATTGCTTTCTGGTGTTAACACAGCATTTATAGACGTAGGTAAGCTGTCACCAGTTAGTGCTATATTCACATAGCCCGTATCGCCGGCCGTCAGTTGAGAAAAATGCACAATCTCGTTTAAAATATTGTGTAGACGATGATTAAAATCAGCCAAATCGTTTGTATCTATTTCACGGAGATTCAGTGTCCTTTGGATTTCAAGTCCGTTGAAACGTGGTCGAGGGGTTATTACGAAGTCGCCTACACGTCCTCCCTCAGTCGTCAGCGTATGAATTTCGTCCTGACTAAGGCCCATATTAGGGAGCTGATGATTATAATTCGAAAACCCATTACCGGACTGGATGGTTTCATGATCATCATCATCCCCGTCTAGCCAGGATCGCTGTTCGGCGATAAGATTTTGCAATCTTTCCCTAACTGAAAGTCCCGTAGTGTCCAGTGCGTTTAATTGTTCACTTATTAAACAACGCAATTGTTCATTATTTCCATCATGTCTCGACATGATACATTCGTCAGAGTCGATATTAGGAATGTGGTGATGATGATTCGAAAACCCATTATCGGAGTGGATGGATTCATCATCACCCATGTCTAGCCAGGATCGTTGTTCGGCTATAACATTTTGCAATCTCTCCCTTACTGAAAGTCCTGTAGTGTCAATTGCTCTTAACTGTTCACGTATTAAACGTTGCAATAGTTCATTAGTACTGAGATGCCTCGATCTTATGTGTTCTGCATCTTCGTCTGAGTCTGACTGCATATCAGTGTAAGATCTTTTAGAAGCCATTTTGTTTTAATGTGTTACTAGTAGACTATAAACGAATACTCCAACACCATCACCATTCATAGATAATAGTAATAGCTGATGGGTAATGTTTAACAACAAACCATAGCAGTATTACAAATAACAGTCAAATTAATAAAAACAAATAAAAAGTAATCATCAAATATGAAAACTAGAGAATGTAAGATTTCAAATGATATGTAGTTTGTCAAGATTAGTCTAGGTAATGGTTTTTGGGGATCCCACCGCTGGGGTTGGTGACGCTGAAGAGATTTTAATAACAACAACCCATACTATTATTACAAATAACAACTGTAAAATAACAGTCAAATGAATAAAAATAATAACAATCAAATTAATAAAAAGAAATCAGTAATTATGATATATTGCATAACTTGCGTTGTGTCTTTTCCATTGATAATCTGGATAACATTCATTTAAAAGGTGCTTTGTTACCAATATTAGTTGCTGTCAGGGGTTTCACGGTTGTCCTTCAGCGCGGTTAACAACAACCTGTTATAGAAATAACATTCAAATTAATAAAAACTAATAAAAAGTAATCATCAAATATTAAAACTAGAGATAGTGAGATTTCAGATGATATGTAGTTTGGACTTAGAATACATTATTACTGAATATAAAGGTAATCTACAGTCCGTACCAATAATACAACAGTCAGGTGAATAAAGTCAAATCAATATTTGTATAATATTTGTTACCTTATCAGCTCAGCTGTTGTTCATGATGTATTTCACGATTCCCCTCTGGTGTTAAGGATAACAACAGTTCACGCTGTAATAGAAATAACAGTCAAAAAACAATCAAACAAATAAAAAGTAATCATCAAATATTAAAACTAGAGATAGTGAGATTTCAGATGATATGTAGTTTGGATTTAGAATACACTATTACTGAATTTAAAGGTAATCTACAGTCCGTATAATAAAAATAACAGTCAGGTGAATAAAGTCAAATCAATATTTGTATAAATATTTGTTACCTTTATCAGCTCAGCTGTTGTTCATGATGTATTTCACGATTCCCCTCTGGTGTTAAGGATAACAACAGGTTATGCTGTAATAGAAATAACAGGCAAAAAACAATCACACAAATAAAAACTAATTATCAAATATTAAAACTAGAGATTGTGAGATTTCAGATGATATGTTGTTTGGACTTAGAATACACTATTACTGAATTTAAAGGTAATCTACAGACCGTACCAATAATAAAAAAACAGTCAGATGAATAAAGTCAAATCAATATTTGTATATTACCTTATCAGATGTTGTCCAGAACGCTTTTTCACGATTATCCTCCCGTGTTTAAAAACCGTTACAAGTTCTCTGTTTACATCCACTTAACGTTGCGCACCCTGTTGAAATTATAAGACTTCATGTCTCGGATTTCCTTGTGGTGAATGCATGATATTCCACAAATGCCGAAACGACATAATCCTCAAAATCCAATGAGCTGTTTTCGTGATTCAGAATGAACAAACCTGATGATAAATCCACATATTTCCTCGCGCTGGAGAGGACACTGATAAAACACCCAATGACACGTTTTGTGGATCAGACGCTATGATTGAACA